AGCCTCCACCTTCAATGAGGCTTAGCATTCAGGGGTTTTGAGATTGTGTTGTCAGGGTTCCAAACAAGAAAAGAACGAATTCGGACATCACCAACTGGATGGACCTGTGAGTCTTTCACTATACCACATTACATCAATGATGCAGCCAAGAAGCCTCCTTCATCTCAGCAATAAACTGGCTCGCTTCGATCATCTTCTTGTTGGTGAAATCGCTTTCCTGCCAAATTGCTCAGAACTGACCTCGAAACAACTTTGTTTTCAAGCGACCAAAATACTAGCGGGCAAAGCCGCAAATGCCGATCACGATTCAATAATCTGTGTTTGCATACTTCAGACCTAGCATCTGGAGTGACACCTGAAATGGTGTGCTATGCTCTTGCTAGCACTAGCAAAGGTGAACGCAAAGAAAGGGAGCGTTGAGCTAGAAAACACGAGTCCTTGGCTTTCAGACCCTCGTAGACAACCTCGTCGTCACCGGGCATCCTCACCCTGTACTCCCTGGCGCATGGAGCTGTCTGTGCAGCAACGTCACGCGCTTTTCATTGGAACTCTTTATTACTTTGGCACAGCTGACACCTAACTGCTTCTGGAATACAGAAGATCAAGTTTTCAAGTTTATTCGGACATGTTGGGAGCTCCTCGGCATACAAAGGGGCTCAAGCAGGCTCCCCGAATTCTTGAATGACCGACCTGCTGCCCCTTAAAGCTTCAGTAATGCCAGGAAACCTTATCAGACCGTACATCTGCTCGACTTCGAACATCAGGTCTTCCATCTCCGCCCGTTCCTTGGCCGGCCGACTCGGCAGATCACTCCACCTTCAGAAAAGCCTGCTGAGTCGGCAGCCTCTTGCACCAGGTGATACATCTTGACCTCGGAACTGCTGCTCTTAATGCTGTTGCTGTTGCTGTCTGAACTTATGGTTCGCTTTCGGCCAGTAGCAAAAGCGTCACCTCATGTTCAGACACTGCCAGGGGAGGTTACCAAGCTGCAATGCCGGAACAAGACCCTAGTGCTCATCTCAGGAAGTCACGTAATTGGCGAACTTGCCAAGATCTTTTGACCTTTCTTCGAGAGTCTTGTTGACCTGGGAGAACTGCAGAATCGCACATGTGAGCAGAGAGATCTTTCAGCTTGCAAAGAAGACATGTGCAGCTTGCAGCTTGCCAGGATCTGGGTGTCTTCAGGAAAGGTGTGTCATCAGACATCCTACGAGTGTTTCAGTGCACTATGGGAGCATGGCCCCATTTTTCCACTGCACAAGGCTCTTCGTTCGACCCCCATATGACCCTAGAATCCCTATATAACCCCAACATATACCCTATAAGCCCTACATAGCGGTGCCAGCAATTGGGGAGCAGACTTGGTCATATCGACTGTAGCATTCCTGCAAGGCAAAGAGAGCTGGCATGCATAAGCATGCTTGGACATCAGGTGCATGGAAGTATACCATGCTGCTCCTTCCTGCAGGGGCACTTTTAACACAAATTACTCTCCTCTTGCTAGGAATACAACTCCGGCACGTATTTCTTCATCATCTCTTTACATCCCCACTGATACAGCAATGCAGCTGTTAAAAAAGAATCGTCTCAGCAGTAATTATGTTATCCTTACACTTGGTATTCCAATGGTCCTCCTCCTGCTTTGAGGCTGTATGTTTACGCCAAGGCCGCTGCTGCAGAATTCTGAAGAAGAGACCCACTGATACGCCCTACAAATCCTGTTTCCTGAGGATCTCTAGACCATAACCCCCTAACGACTAAACCCCGAACCCCAAATGCGAATGGACACTAAACCCTAAACCTTAACCCCAAACACATAGCCCTACTCCCCGACAAGAAACCGTGAACCCTTAGTCGTTCCCGATTGTTCATAAACTCCCTTTTAGGACACTTATTGGGAGGGGCATGACCGCGAACCCTAAACCCTGGACCCTAAACCCTAAACCCTAGACCCTAAACACTGGACCCTGAACCCTAAACCCTAAAGGATCTGTTTAGGGAAGCTACTCCAGGACAGCCTTGCACTTGTCGCGTGCCAGGCCAATGAGACAGTTCTTCAAGCAGTTCAGCGAGGCCTCTAAGAATTTAGGGTGTAGGGTTTAGTGTCTAGGTCTTAGGTTGGATTCCGAACAAGAGGGATACAGCGGCTACAGTAGAGTGTGTACATATAGATATATATATATATGTGGTAGTTTCCCAAAATATGGGGACCCCAATATAGACCCAAACATACTATAGTCCTTCTTATTACAGGGACCCCCAAAAAGTACCCCTAATTTTGGGAAAACCCTATGTAGGAATATGATACCCAAAAGCTCTGGGTTTGATTGTTGGTGCTCAGGCCTTGGATTTGAGGGTTTGGGGTCAGGAGTACCCCTTGAAGACCGAGAGATACAAAAAGAGGGCCGCATTACGCACGCGGTCACGCTGGAAGGCGGTGTTAGGAAAATTTGAGAACCTTCCTAATGACTGTGCCAAAGTGTATGGGATCATAGAAGGCTCAGGGGCCGAACTCCGCACGTAGCAATGATGACCATAATAGTACTAAAGTACTCAATGTAATAGTGGTGGTAGTTCTAAGTTTAAAAGAGAAGAAGCACGATTCTCTTGTGGATTCAAGTTTAAGATTAAAGATTCAGGGCTTTCGCTGTACATGGAAGGTACTCCAGGGCTTATCAGTCCAAACTTGAAATTATCTTGTGGTGTAGCCAACTTGGGGATTCGATCATTCTGCGAGTAAGCATGAAGATTCCAGAACCCATTTTTCCATGGGGAAATCCCGCACACAAAGGCTTTTGCCTTATCTGTGCAAACTATCCTTGCAGCTATAGAAGCGCATGCAAAAAATGCAGGTCAGTATTGATAGAAATCATAACATCAGTCAAAGTCACAAGAAACATGTCCATCATCACTAATCCTATACCTGCAACCGCGCGCGCTGAACCCTTAAGCGCTCCAAGCCCTCGACTCTCTACACAAGACCCCTCGTACTGCACCCGAAACACTACACCCTTAAACGTAAGCCCTACACACTTATTTGCAGCTTCCATGTTCTTTTCCATTATCCCTGTACCCCCTATATTTGACCCCTAAACCCTAAACCCTTATACCATAATACCCTGAATACCACAATACCCTACTACACCAAAACCTAATGTCCTAATATCCTCAACCCTTGAGATATGACCGGCCTCTGGGATGGGCGTCAGCTTGTCCTTCAGGCTCTTGCCATTGACAAGAATGATGCCACAGATCTGGCAGCGCAGTTTAGGGTTTTAAGAGTCTAGGGGTTTAGAGGTTTTGTATTTGGGGTTTTGGGTTTACACGGATCTAAAAAGGATCTGGCACGCATGGACAAATTTGAAGAGTCTCTCCGCGGGCAACCTTCTGTGCCAAGATTGACCAGAAGCTGCAAGAAAACATCGCTGGGAAAGCCGGACTCAGCTTGAACCTGTCCAGGTCATGCTGGAACCTTGGTGGGGGTTCGGGGCTGAAGGTGCGTGGTCTTGGATTTGGAGCTCAGGTCCCAAAAATAGCAACTCTTGAAAGCTACTGAGGGAAGGGCTCTCTCATCTTGGACATCTGGTCGTACAACTCATCGTAGTCATGCTCCTGACAATAGATCGTGTCTTGTGAACTTCATTCACATCACACAGGGGCTCCATGCCAGGACAAGCGTGACACCCACAACCATGCTGGGATCCTACCTACAGGATGTGACCCAAACTTTGAAACACTTCGTGAGACCTTTCTCAAATCTGGCAAAACCTAGCCATGACACAACGATGCTGCACAGTCCTTCTCGTTGAACGCCTCTTCATCCCAGATCTTGCCAAACCTGCCAACACACCGTGAAGCCTGCAAGCTGCTCAAACGAGCTGAGCGGACAAAAAATCGGACGCCTAACCAACACGTCCCAAGATCTTGGACTAGATTTTGGATGACAACCTGACCTGGTTCTTTGTCCCATTAAGCTCTATTTACACTTGGGATCCCATTAGTCATACAATCCAAATTCAAGCATGCTGGCCGCACTCGTAGATCGGCCGGAAGGGCTCGTACATCAAGTTGGCAGACGCCTGTTCTGGCACTTGGACGCACCAGACATTGCACGAACACGCTGATGGGAGGAACTGAAACCACTGGCGGTGGAAGCAATTATTACAACAGAAGGCATTCCAACCGCAATGTCGTAGTACAAGAAAAAGCCGCAGACTTCTTCTTGCTTTGTGTTGCATGCAGTCCTGGGTGTCCGCAATGGCGCTAATGATGTAGTCCTGAATGCTTGCCTGGTATCCTCGCAGCAGCCACACCATTCAGGAAGCAGTATAAATAGCAACAGTGATAACTGCTGCATGCCCGATGGCAAATCCGTCCCAAAAAAACACACCGCAGAAACAACAACTTTAGAGACATGCAAGATGACATGAGCTTCCAGGGTCCTAAGTATGTCCGGTCTTTCATCAAGATGTCCTGGCAAAGGCAAGTCTGCATCTGCTGGACAGGAAATATCGCCAAAAGCCATGCAACACCTCGAAAAACTAAAGCTAACAGAACAAGTCCCTCAATTGTTAGATGGCTATGTCTCAGGATAAGAGTCTCCTGTGTAACCTAGGCCTAGGGAGTAGGCAAAATGGGTCTCATCCAAGAAAGCTTCGCTCCTTGACTGTCTGATGGTTCTGCACCCGGCAGAACTGGTCATACCTGGTCACACAAGAAATATACGCTTGCTAATTTGCCCAGTCGGCTGAGGCTGGTTACTGCTGCAAAGTAAGTAAGATCCAGGCTGGCGCACGCAAGTCATTGACTGCAAGAGATTCAATGTTTGGAACCAGCCATCGGAAATCCTGCGCGCACAAGATAACATTGAAGACATGCCATGCAAATGGCGAAGTAACGTTTCGTTTGCGATCCCAGTAGTATTGGAGAATTCCGAAGACAACTACGGGAGTCCCATTGTAGCATAATACTGCAATCTACATACCTTCTCAGCCCCAGACATGAACAGCATCTCAATGAACTCGTGCTTGCCCGGATCCAGGTTGATGCCCTGACCACTGCAGGGGTGCTCGAGCTGTCAACTCACATTATATCCACATCAAAGCTCATCCTCTTCCGGGGGGGGTCTAGAATGACACCCTAACACAAAACCCATACCCTGACCCCTAAACCCTATACCCTATATTTTCAGCCCTATACTCAACTTAACGCCCGTGCGAGTTTGGAGGCCAGGAAAACACTTCAGGAGCCTGGTCTGACATGTCCACGGAGGTGACGAAGAGCTTGGGGACATTCTGGCAACCAGCACAAAATGTTCAGGGTGGCTTCGCAGAAGAGAGGCGCCTTTTTGAAGGCGCTTACATGGAGCTTCCCCATCCCCGCTACATCTTCGGAACAGATTCAAAGCCCTCTGCTTTCAGAAGCTGGCATCTGCGGTGGCACCCGTCCTTCTGGTCCAAGCGATTCCAGAAGTGCTTAACGGCTTCGATAACAGTCTGCACGAGTGCAGCCTGCCACAATTTGCGCATACTTGATTTCACCGGTCAGCGACACACCTGGGATGGTAATGAGCTAGTGTCAGATCCCTCTATAGGCCCTGAGAAGAAGTAGCATCTGCAATGCAGGAATGCAACTGCAAAAAACAACATAAGTCGGGCACCTACCCCATGCCCCATGGGTACAGATGCTGTCCCTCCCCTTGAGGATCCTCAAAGTGCGATAGGCTTGGGCCTGGAACATGTAATCAATGACACGGATGCAGTCGCCTTCACCAAACAAAGCTGACAGCATGATGCCAGCTCGGAATACTGCCAAGCCCTGCCTAGCATGTCCTCGTCCCGCTTAGCAATACGAAGGAGACGTGCTTTCTCGCGGGCCTCAAGCAAGAACAGACAGATAGAGAGGCAAATCGACGATAGCTGGATAAATAGATAGACAGGTAGGTGGCATCTTGACACATGAGTTGATACCGAATAAAAGTCCACATTGCAACGTTACAGCTTGTATACATACATACATACATACATGCATGCATGCATGCATACATACATACATGCATACATACATGCGCATATATCAAGAACGCAGGCGTCGCCTCTTCCTTCTCTTGCACCATGGACTTGGACCTAAGTCACATCATTGCTCCCTGCCCATGAGTCGCTTGGTCTTGACCTTGAGTGCCCAGCTTGGAGTTCGACAACTGATCCTCGCAACAGAGGGTAGAAAGACAAGATTTGCAACCATTCAAGAAGTCCAAGGCAAGGCCTGCCACAGGGTTAAGAAAAACAGCTCTCAAAAAGCCAAGAGCAAACGTTAAGCTTTCCTGTCCAGGATCACAAGCCACAATCAGTATACTTATAAGCCACAGCACAACCTTGGGCACTGAGGTTAGCACAACGCTGGGCTCAATCTGCAACGAACACTGCACCGTGGCAATCAGCCGATCAATGATGCCAATCTTGGATTGCAGTCAGGAGGAAGCGGAAATCACTGGCTCTTGAATCAGTCATGGCCTGCCAAATGACTATTCAAGCATGGAACAACAGATCATACAATGCCAAGCGGCCGCAGCTTCGTGCTTTTGCTCGAAGTCCTTCTGGGCGCTATTGACCTCGACAACTTGAAGCTTCCTTGACGAAACACGCAAAGCTTAGGAAAACTGACATGACATCATCGCGGTGTTGTAACAACACGATCCGCACTGCTACGGTTTTCGTGAAAACATATTATTTTCCAATTCTCTTTAGGAGGCCCCTGAAGAAGGGCATCCCTTGAGAGAACTTGTGATATTCATGCGAACTTGGCTTCACACAGGGCTGGCACGGATCTGCTGCTGCTTGTCCATGAATTCCTAGTGGCTGCCAGAAGTGAGTTTTAGTGTTTAGGATTTAGAGCTTGAGTGTTGATATTGAGGACTTAGGGTTCAGCATGAAACCTGGAAACTTGAAAAGATCCTTGAGGACAAGGGCTTGGGACAAAGAGTTCAAACCTCATGGAAACCCTACAAGAACCTTGAGCAGTGGAATTTAGCCAGCTATATCCAAAGGCTTGTGTCTTCCCGTGCCTGGATGGTGTAGTAGTTCTGATCGATATGCATGACCTCGCACAGATGAACAAAAAAATGTCTTCGTGCAAGTCTTCGAAGCAAATGCTGTTGCAAAGCACATGCAACACACATGCTCCCAATTTATTGGGACTCTACACAAGTATCCCCCTTAATGACCCCATAGTAGTCTCCTATAAATTCCCTGTACAACCTCCTTTAAGGAGTAACTTGTTGGTTTCAAGAGGACCTCATGACAGCATGAGAAACTCGTAGCGCTCCCTAACCAGCGGGGAAATGGGTCAGGGAAAAAGGTATGAATTTCAAATGACCTATAGTCTAAACTCCAAGTATCCCCCTTAATAACCCTAATGACAGTCCCCCTATATAACCCTCTTGAAGGAGTTTAGATCCTAAATCCTAAACCTGATATAATCCCCTACATAACCCCTTTCAAGGAGTTTAGAAAACAGCTCCAATGGCGGCCTTGACCTCTTCCACCTCACGCACGAGGCTGTTCACCTGTGACAAGCAACTGGCATTCCGGCCTCAACTCCTTGAGCTGGGTTGCTGTCGCCATTAAGGGACTTAATGGAAAAGAAAATGGAAA